GGCAAGGAAACGATATACGACGGGATCAATGTGAAGCTGATGTCCTCTCATGAAAACTATCACATAAACCACAATAAAGCTTAAAAAAAAAAAAAAAAAAAGAATGAACAGCCCGGGAGAAGGACATCATACTTGGTAAATTGTAGGTCCATGAAAAATGAAGACACTCAAGGCAATGAACTGACATGGCCATGGCGGCAGCAGCAACAGGCTCCAGGGTGACAACGTTTATGAGATTGGTGCAGGATCTGGCAGTACTTTATATTGTAGTGCATAATGTCACCACGAGTTGGAACCGATTGATTCAATGGCACCTAACAACATGTAGTTTTTCTAAATCAATAGATGCAAAATCAACTCATCATCATATTCAAGCCTATTCTTTTCCCCTATCCTTCTCCACTGAGTAGTATCAATATCCAAACTAATAAGAAATACAAGTTATAGGGAGTCTTCCCTCGCCTTCATTCCCTATTTTTCTTTTTGTTATGTGCTGTTGAGTTGGTTTCAACTCATAGAAACCTTGTATAAGGTTTCTGAGGCTGTAAGCCTTTTTGGGAGCAAAAAGTTTCACTTTTCTCCCTCAGAGCCGCTAGTGGGTTTGAGCTGACCATCTTGTGGCTCCTGACCAGTGCTTAACTTGGTCATCACATTCCCCTGTATTCCCTTGAGCCAATCAAATAAGTTTTCCTCATTTAGCATTTCATATTATATGGATACATTTGTAAATATCTAAGTATTTTTATGATACCATGAGAATATATATCTTCACATTGATTCTCTGTGCCATCAGATTGATTCCAAGGCATAGTGACTCTAAATGACAGAGTAGAGCTGTCCCACACAACTTCTTTAGAGGAGTTTTTCTTTCACTCCTGTGAAGTGGCTGGAAGTCCAATCAATAACCTTTTTGCTGGTAGTTAAGTGCTTAACCATTATACCACCAGGGTTTCTTACCTTACATTATTATTATTTTTAAATGCTACAGAGTTCTTCTTACATATAACAACCTACTGTAGGGTTTCTGAGGATTGAACTGCTGACCTTGATATTAGCAGTCCTGTGCTTATCCTATAGCAGCACACTAGACATCATATCCTCATATCCTTATATTATTGTTAGTAAATGCTGTTGAATCTGTTCTGACTCATAGAGACCCTGTAGAGGGTTTCCAAGGAGCAGCTGGTGGGTTTGAACTGTAAACGTTGTGGTGACCCTACAATGCCTCACCATTAGCACTTGCCACATATTACTTAAATACTTAGTTAATGCACCTACTCTAGCACTGGGAGAACAGACACCGTATTCTACCATTTAATTTTACATTATAGAAAAAAAAAAAAAGATGATACTTATTGACAGTTCAAATGGAATGAGTAAACACATCTTCTAATATAACCCCACAGTGGAGGTAAAATCCTTGAAGCCCACTGAAACATCACTTGAGAGTGTTAAGGATGCTTGTTTTATGACAAAATCCTTATGGAAAATTTGGTTCTTTTGATTATTACTACAAAAACATCTATAAAAATTTTGTAGCCTGCAAAATCAAAATCCTAAATGTGATTTTTGTTTGCATTTGTTTTAATATTCATCTGAAATGCTGAAAATCTTACCTTTAGGGATAAAAATGTTGATTAGAACTGAGCTTCCAGCCAGGAAGAGGACAGGAGCTAGTGCAGTCCGGCGATTGATATACTTCATTATAAAAAAAGCAGGATACTTGGTTGGGATATCTATAACTCCAAGTAGGGCCTGATTCAGGAATAAATTATCCCCCAAATTCTTCAAGTCCAGCATAAGGCCATAAAAGAAGAAAAGCGCCGAGAATCTAGAGAAAGACAACAGAGAATTGGTGCACTGTGTTCAATAACGTAAACGTTTTCCTCATGTTTTAAGCATTAATCATATATTCTCATAATGATTATTCAACCTTGTTGACTTTACACTAGAGAGACGTAATGGAATTTAAAGGCCTGGTAATTTCTCGGAAGGAAAACTAAAAATGAAAGAGAACTAACTACAACTATTTCAATTAAATTGAGAGATCAGCTTTTTCTTCCCAGATTCCAAAATTAAGGAATTCTCTTATTCCTTAAAGTAGGATCAAAAAAGAGCTTCATCTCTATCAGAAATTTAGTTATTTCAATTTATATTTGTCCTTGCTGTTGTTGTTATTGTTAAGTGCCGTTGAGTCTGTTCCGACCCATAGCGACTCTATACAGGATTTCCAAGTAGCAACTCGTGGGTTTGAACTGTTGGCCTTGTGGTTCAACCTGACCTTGCAGTCCAGTGCATTACCCTGTACCGCCACTCCAGGACTCCTTATCAAACCCCAAACCCAATCCCTTCATGTGGATTCTGATTTATAGGGATACATAAGACAGAGTATAATGGCTTCCAGGATGGCTTCTCTATGGAAGCAGATTGCCGTATGTTTCTCCTGCAGGTTGGGAAGAGATTTCATTTATAGTCATTTTGTGTGTGTGTGAACTGAGTCATAGTTTACATGGGAGAACATTGATTTTACACCATCATTTAATTACAATGATTACAATCTCCTCCACACATTATCATTCAATAGTATTTGTTTACATTACCTCTGTGTTTCTTTTCTTTTCTTCTTTTTGTGGGGATGGGATGAGGGGGTGGGGAGATATACACAAAAACCCTCAGGAATATATAATAATAATTCCTTTATATATAGTTCAGAGTTTGGGGACCATCCCCTGAACCTGCTTCATCCCATATTCTGTAGTATTGCTGACCGAGATCCTCACTGCACTTCTACTCATCCACCATCAATCCCTGCCTCCTTGTTTTTAGTCATTTTTTTTTTCTGAGCCATATTAGAGGATTTAATTTCTATTTATTACATATGCTTAGGTTTCTGTCCTGAAGGGGATTTTTCTAGGTTAGGTTTTGATGTTAATGTATGTAGGCCTGCTATAATTAACTATGGACATAAATTCCATTTCTTTCTGAAAAAATATTATGTAATTTTTACAATGATTTCTTTCACAAAGTTTTGGTATAGCTCTTCAATGGGATGACCTATTTGGTAAGTTGTTCCTTGGCAGGAATTTTAATGATCATTTTCCTCCTTTAGTGAATCCTGGTGGGGCACTATAGTGTAAGCACTGGACCACAAGGTCAATTTGAACAGCAAGTCTGGCAGTTCAAACTCATCAGCCACTGCTCAGACACCCTACACAGGGTCACTGTGAGTCAGAACTGACTCACCAACACTTAACAACAGAACCACTGACTGTAGATGATTTAGGTTTTTATTGTATTGACTTTGCTAATTTTGAGAGTGCAACCATATATATTTTTGCCCTGAGCAGTGTTAAATTGTATTTCCTCTTCCTCTGATGTTCCCTGGAGCCATGTAATTAAATTCTAGTAAATTAAATATGTGCCAGTCCTGAGCCTGCCACATAAAAGTATCCCATATGTAAGTCTGCTTGCTTTTCTCCAGTTGTTTACAAACTCCATAATGATATTGTGTCTTGATGTTGTTTAAAAGTTTGCTATCAAAAGCACCTCAGTTTGGATATTGAGTAGTCTTTCAGCTGATATGGAGCTATTTATTGTTGTGTGAGCTCCCTGGGTGGCACAAATGGTTTGTGTTCAATTACTAACTGAAAAGTTGGTGATTTGAACTCACCCTGCAATACTGCAGAAGAAAGGCCTGGTGATATCCTTCCATAAAGATTACTCAGACCCACTATGCCTACAAGGAAGCCCAGCTAATACCACTGTTACACAAATTTATGCACCAACCCCTAAAGCCAGTGATGAGGAAATTAATAGATCAGTCTGAAATTGATCAAACATGCAATCCAGATGTATTGATAATTACTGGTGATTTGGAATGCAAAGATTGGAAACAAAGAAAAAGGATCAGTAGTTGGAACATATGGCTTTGGTGATAGAATTGATGCTGGAGATTGCATAATAGAATTTTGGAAGACCGATGACTTCTTCATTGCAAATATGTTTTTTAAACAGCATAAAAGATGATTCTACACAAGAATGAATAAGAAAGTCCAGAGTCTATACATGTGATTTTCTTGTTGGTCTTGTGCAAATGTTAGCTTCTCAGAAAGTTGTCTTAATAATCTATCTAATACAGAGACGGGGAGCACAGTGGCTCTGTAGGATAAGCACTGGACTGTAAACCACAAGTTCAGCGGTTAAAGCCCATTAGTGGCTCCTCAGGTCCCCTGAGGAGTGTCTGGTGGGTTTGAACTGTTGTCTTCTCATTTAGCAGTCATGTGATTTATCCTACAGCACCGTACCAGGACTCCTGTTACTGAGTTGTTGTTGTTGTAAAGTGCTGTCATGTCAGTTCCAACCCATAGCGACTCTGTATAGGGTTTCTGAGAAGCAGCTGGTGAGCTTGAACTGCAGACCTTACAGTTCAAATGGCTTTACAGTCTGGTGCATTAACCCACAGCACCCCACCAGGGCTCCCTTCTCTTACCTAATGTTTGATAGTACAGGTTTCTGAGTCACTAGAAAAAATTTAAAGTCTGTTACTGAATAGACCTTCAAAACTTTCTGATGACTCAAAAATCTGTACAAACAAACATTAGATAATACACTATCTTCTAACGGGGTGCTGTGAGTTAGTGCGCTAGACTGCAAAGTTGGTTTGAACTGCAAGGTCAGTGATTCAAGCTCACTAACTGCTCCTCAGAAACCCTACATAGGGTTGCTATGGGCCGGAACCAACTTGACAGCACTTAACAACAACAACAATGCTAATTTTATTAGATCTCTCCTTGAAATGGTTTACTACTTGCTCTTTGCTTGTAACAGTTTTCCACAAAGTGCTCTCTGGACTGTATGTCAAATCATTCTGAGTGCTGAGTTCCAAATTCATTAAATTTCTAGGATATTGATTTGTTCTGAAACTGGTTTATCTTGCTTTCTTAGTTTTTCATGCACCCTCACTTGTCTCAACCCCTTGAGGCAAGTTAACGTTCACATAATTCTTTACTTGTTACAAGAAATTTCTCAGAGGTCAACAATGAAATCTACCAAAGCAGACCCCCAGCCATCAAGCTGAGTCTCCAAGGCTGACATCTGAAGGAGGCAGACTGCCACATCTTTCACCTGCAGAGCAGCTGGTAGGTTGAAACCATTGAAGTTTAAGTGAGAGCTGGATGCTTTAGCTTCTGTGCCAGCAGGGCATCTTCCAGCAATGAAGAAAGGCCACCCACCTTATAAAGAAGAGGCATAAGATTGTCCTGCACATGATGGGACTGGCAAGGAGTTCCTTGATCTTGATTTGATCAGTACGGGAAGCAAGTTCTGTTTTCATTGCTGATCTCAAAAACTGCAAAAAGAAAAGACACAAAGGCACCTATTTTTATAGATGGATCCCTTTGTGGTACAAATGACTAAATACTTGGGGATTAACTGAAAAGTTGGTTGTTCAAACCCACTCAGAAGCACCTTAGAATGAAGACTTGACAATTTACTTCCAAAAAATCAGACACTGAAAATTCTATGGTGTGCAGTTCTACCCTGACATATATGAGGTCCTCATGAGTTTTAATTGAGTCCACTGCAGCTGGACTTGAGTCCACTCAATTAAATTTGTATTTGTTTCTTTCTTTCTATAGCTAAAAGGGTCAAGAAATGGGCTCTGCAAAGTTAGAAACTTGCATTTAGTTAGAATAATGTGCTCATTGTTTTCAACATATGCATTTCAATATATCCTTCCTTGAGTTTGTTTACCAAGATTTTATCTACAACACTAAAACAATTTGGAGTTTGGAAGAGATAATGGGGAGTTTGTAGTGGAGAATTCAATCATATTACATCTCTAGTGAGTTAAAATCCAAAAGTCTGGGCTAGAGGGTGGACTAAAATATAAACCGTCAGCTCTCTCCTTTTATTATTCATCAATTTATCACCCATGAAGACAATTGGATCTTTTCAATTAGTATCCATTCCTCTCTTAGTATCTCTGCAGGATAAATATACATCATAGATTAGATTACTTATACAAGATTGGAATATGGTGATAAAGTTTTGAGCAAACCTAAGTGAATCTTAAGGAGCTCTGGTAGCGTAGTGGTTACGAATCGGGCTGCGAACCTTAAGGTCAGCAGTTTGAAACTACCAGCTGCTCTGCGGGAGAAAGATGAGGCTTTCTACTCCCGTAAAGATTTACACCCTTGGAAACCCTGTACAGGGTCGCTATGGGTCGGAACCGACTCAACGGCACTTAACAACAACAACAAGTGAATCTTACAAAGTAAAGTCAGAAATCTTGTTACTTTCAGTTCTAGTGAGAATCTTTTTGAATTTCTTAGTGTCCCAGGCAATTTCATTTTTTCCAAAGATATTTATAATATATTTTCACAGGAAATATATTATTGTTTCATCACATATACATTCTTCCTCTTCATATTTTTTCAAATCTATCTCTCTACATCAACCTATTCATCTATCTACCCATCATCTACCTACCTACCTAGTTATATATACAGTACAGTCAATAATATATTTACTTATACCAATCTAAAGTTATATACTTCACTGGATAACTCTATCTATGTTGTTTATATTTATCACTCGTGGCAAAACAGGAAAAAGTTCTTACTTCAAGGTTCAGATTATTAGCAGCATCTTTGCTTCCATTAAAGTTGGCAACTCTCTTGAGTTCTCTTAAAGAGTTTTCTAATTTGCCTTCCATTATCAGCCAGCGGGCAGACTCTGAAAACCACCTAAGTGGAGAGGGCAGAGGGACAGAAGTACTAAGACCATTGAAGGGGTCCCATCAAAATATGAACTAGAATTTAGAGTGGCTTTGCTTCTCTCTTCATTGAAGGTGAAAACTCAAAAATCTTATGAGAACATAGCCCTTCTCTTTTGGGAGACAGCCACCTGAATTAAATGTAGGCACAGATACATCATTTTAGTTTTGAAAATATTTGTGTTTATTTGTTTGTTTGCTGATTGGTTTATTCTTTGTGCTTGGTATACAGTATAGTACAGTAAACTTAAATGACCAGCTTAAGAAACTTTTTATAAACTATAACAGAAGGGGGCTGTCAAAGGAATAGAGATATAAACATTCTGATGTTTCTCATCCAATATAAATTCTGCCTGTTCAACAGCTCTGTAAGATAAATAGAATTATTCAGTATGTAATGATTTATGTTTGCAATCTCCTACTTAGTAGCAAATTAATAATTTTCAATGATTGTTCCTGTATGATTTTGAAAATCACAATGGGTACCAACAGTTTGTTCTTTTTCATTTATGTGCACTATTCCACAAGGGAACACTGAATGGTTTAAAATTAGGAAAGGTGTGCCACAGGGTTGTATTTTTTCACCATAATTAATCAATCTGTATGCTGAGTGAATAATCTGAGAAGCTGTGTTATATAAAGAAAAATGTTTCATCAGAATTGGAGGAAGACTCATTAACACCTTATAATATGCAAATGATACAACCTTGCTTGTTGAATGCAAAGAGGACTTAAAAGATTACTGATAAACATAAAAGACCCCCATGAGTTGTCATTGAGTCCTTTGGTATGGGTTGCATCTCAATGTAAAAAGAACAGAACTCCTCCCCCGGACCCATAAACAATATCCACATAAATGGAGAAAAGGTTGAAGTTGTCAAATTCTTAATTTTGCTTGAATCAACTATCAACATTCATGGAAGCAGCAGTGAAAAAAACCAGATGACATACTGCCTTAGGCAAACTTGCTGCACAAGATCTCTTTAAAGTGTTGAAGAACAAATATGTCAGTTTGAAGACTAAGGTGTGCCTGATCCAAGCCATGGTATTTTCAGTAACCTTATACGTATGTGAAAGTTGGACAGTGACTAAGGAAGACCATAGAAGACGCATTTGAGTTTTGGTGTTGAAGGAGAATATTTACAAGACCATGGACTGCCAAAAGAGCAAAGTAATCTATGTTGAAAGAGGTACAGCCAGAGTGCTCCTTGGAAGCCAAGTTGGCCAGACTTCATCTCTCATCCTTTGGACATATTGTCAGGTGGGACCAGCCCCTGGAAAAGGATATCATGTTTGGTAAAGTGGAGGTTCAGAGACAAAGAGGAAGACCCCCAATGAGATGGACTGGCACAACGGCAGCAGCAGTGGGCTCAGGTATAGCAATGTTGGTGAGGTTGGCCCAGCACCGGGCAGCATTTCATTCTGTTGAATATAGGGTTGCTATGAGTCAGTACTGATTTCATGACATCTAGCAAAACAACATTCCACTGTAGAAATATACAGTGTTTATGTTTTCATTATCCATTTGATAAGGAATATTTATATTTTTCTGGTTTTGTTGTTAATTGCTTTGGAGACAGATCCAACTCAGAACAACCCTGTATAGGGTTTTCAAGGAGTGTCTGGTGGCTAGAACACTGACCTGTGGTTAGCAGTCCAATGATTACCCCACGGCATCACTAGGACTCCTAGGTTGGAACTATTTTGAATTGAGTTGCCATAGACTTTCTTCACATGAGTGATTATTTTTTCTGAATATGTACTTATGAGTAGAATTGTTGAATCATTGATTATCGAGTTATTATTGTTAAGTGCTGTCAAGTGAGTTCAAACTCAGACACCCTGTACAGGGCCTCTGAGGAGTAGCTGATGGGTTTGAACTGCTGACCTTTAGGTTAGCAGTTGAGTGCTTAACCTATAGTGCCATATCAGGAGTAAGCACATATTTATCTTTGTTGTTGTGTGTCATTGAGTTGGATCCAACTCATAACAACTCTGAAAAGGGTTTCTGAGAACAGCTAGTAAGTTTGAATGGCTGAACTTGCAGTTAGCAGTCTAATGCTTACCCGACACCATCAAACCAGTGCTCTATCTAAATACTACAAAAATAAAAAAATAAAATGTTCCAAAATGGTTAAAAACATTTTATATACTGAACATAAATATCTGAGATTTTTATTTGCTTCACAATTTTCTTGTCTTTTTAATATGAGCCATTCTTTTATTTCTATGGCAAATAAACTGTCTTTTTATGTCGTCATCTCAATAGTCAACATAGCAGATTGAATGAGTTTTAAAGCAGTTTGTCTTTTAGTCTTTTCAATCATTTATCCATCATTTCTGTGTTTGTCTGGCATCCTGGTGTGGCACTGTAGGATGATGCACTGGACCAAAGGGTCAGTTGCTCCTTAGAACCCCTACATGGGGTTACTATGAGTCAAAATCGACTCAAGGGCACTTAACAGCCACAATTGTTTGTCTACCTATCTATCCACCTATCCATCCATCTTGCTAGCTATTTCTTTATTCAATTAGTTTTCTAGTAAAAACCAGATATCTAAATGGTAGGTCCCCAAATTTTTAATGCTCAGGTCCCATAAGGAAAACAAATGAATAAAGTGTAAATTTGCACTTACCATATAAACAGAAAATATACAAAGTAGGGCAAAGAGATGGATAGCTGTAATGTTTGCCAATCACGGAAGACATAAGCCAGTCCTGCTAATAACACTTGGCCAATGCTCAAAATCAGTGTTATGGCTGTTGTGATCATAGGTTGGAATTGAGTTGGACACCATTCTACAACTTAAAGAAACATGAAAGAGTTTTAATGATTCATCAGACAAATAGAGGTAAAACCTTGATTAAAACTGAAAGGGGTGGCACACAGAACTGGAAAAAACTTACGAAGGACAAGGCTATTGTTGAAAATTGTTCCCAGGGAAAGTGCCACAATCAGCCTTAAAGTGCAGTAAATGGAGAAGGTCGGGGCGAAGGCTGAACAGACCCCTGTTAGTGCACAGACCAGGGAGAAGCAGAGCAATAGAGGCTTCCGGCCAAATCTAGGGAACAACCAGTTGTGTTAGTACACACGTGTTAAGAAGGGGATTCCAACATTTACTAACCTTAAGAAGTATTCCTGGAAATCCAATACTATTAGTAGGCTATCTTTCTGTGTTTTCCCAAAACACTGTCTTTTCTATAGTATAAATGAATCACTTAAATAGAAGTAAAATATGCAGGTAATTATTTCTCTCACAACTGAGAGAAGCGGACATTGATCAAGGCAGATTTTTATTAGTTTGTATTCTCAGTAGTTAGCCCAGTGTCTAAGAAGTCGTGGTGACACAATGGTTAAGCGCTCAGCTGGTAACTGAAAGTTTGGCACTCTGAACACATCAGTAGCTCCGCAGAAGAAAGACCTGGCCATTTACTGCTGTCAAGATTACAGCCTAGAAAACCCTATGGGGAAGTTCTACTCTGTACTATGGAGTCACAGGAGTCCTGGTGTGGCGCTGTGGGTTAATGCACTGCGCTGCAAAGTTGTTTGAATTTCCAAGGTGGGTGCTTCAAGCTCACCAGTCACTCCTTGGAAACCCTATACAGTGTCGCTATGGGTTGGAACTGACTCGATGGCCCTTAACAAGAACAACATGGAGTTACCGCCACCACCATCACCAGAATCAGCTAGATGACACCTAACACAACAATCTCGTGCTTAGTATATTTGTTGCTATTGTTGTTGTTAAGTGTCTTTGAGCCGGTTCCAACTCACAGAGACCTTATATAGGGTTTCTGAAGAGCAACTGGTGGGTTTGAACTGCCGACCTTGTGGCTCACAGTACAGTGCTGATTCTAAAGTGCCACAGGAGTCCTAGTATATAATGTTGTTGTTATGTGCCGTGGAGTCTGTTCCGACTCATAATGACCCTGTACATGATTTCCGGGAGCAGAGAACCTCATCTTTCTCCAGTGGAATAGCTGGTAGTTTCGAACTGCTGACCTTGAGGTTCACAGCCTGATTCGTATCCACTATGTTACCAGAACATATAATAAACAGCTAAAGTTTATTGGCTTATGGTGTTTTAAGATAATTTAATCTCCAAACTTTAAAAATAAGATCATTAACCCCAATGATTTTCTTGGTGATATTGCCAAAGTCATATCATTCCTGACTTTCAGAATCAAGTCCGTTGCTGCATTACATCTATCATGATTATCATAGTTGTTTGTATTTTTCTCTTTTCCAGTTTAATTAGGACATATTGCTCTACACAGATTTATTTTCCTCTTTTTCCTTTGCACAAATTGAGAAGCACTCTTTTATTTCTCATTTGCTAATAATTGCAGAGTATCCTTTCTGTACAACTATCTACTTCCTATAACACATCATTCATATTTTCACTATGCTAATGATACAAAATTTAAAACTTCTCTAAAACAATACCCAAACCAGTTGCCAACCAGTTAGTTCCTACTCATGGTGAGTAGAGCTAGGCTACATAGGGTTTTCAGTGGTTGTGATTTTTTGGTAGATAGAGTGCCATAGTTTTCTTTGGCACTATCTCTGGATGGACTTAACCCACCACCCTCTTGGCTAGTAGCTGAGATTTAACTCTTCCTACCACCCAGGGACTCCTAAAACTGCTTTACCTGGCATTATAGATGCTTTGAAGCCTTGGTGTGGCACCATAGGATAAACACTAGACCTCAAGGTCGGTTTGAGCCACAAGGTCAGTGGTTCAAACTCATCAGCTGCTCCTCAGAAATCATAGGGTAGCTATGAGTTGGAACTGACTCTATAGTAATTAACAATGGCAACAACAACAACAACATAGGTGCTTTGAAATCATCTCCATGCTTTTGATGAACATTTGGATTTTACCTAAGGATCCCTGGTGTTGTAGTGGTTAAAGTATTCATCTATTAACCAAAAGGTTGGCAATTCAAATCCAATCCATAGGAGAAAGTTATGGCAGGCAGTTTCCATAAAGAGAGTAGCCTTTGGTTAGCACTATGGGGGCAGTTCTCTCTGCTGCTATGAGTTGGAATTGGCTCTACAGTAGTGGGTCATTTTCATATACTTGCGTTCCTTGAATACTCCTGGTACACACATTTTACAGAAACCTGTATACTAATTGAACTGATAAGACTTAACCTGAGAAATTACTTCAACAATTTATAGCATGAACTTAACTCTCAGATCACATCTCACATTCACTGGGAAGCCTCGCTCAATGACTCCAGCTATTGTGTCTTTCTGTGTTCAGTGCAGCTCTCCACCTGTTCCATTTATCATTTGATATTACCATCTGTTCACTTTGAATTTGTGCAAAAATGTCTTGGCTTCTCAACAGGGCTACTTTATACTGAGAACTATGTTATTAGCAGGAATTAGCATACTGGAATTCACATATGGATCAGAAGATAAGTCTTACCTATCAGCAAAGTAGCCACTTATTGGAGTTCCAAGCATAGACCCAGTCATGAATAAGAACTGTGACAAAACTTTGAGTGACTGTGAATCACATACTAAGTCCCACTGCAAACAAAGAACAGGCAAGTCTATCAAAACCATAAAAAATGGGAAAACATAGACACTCACTCACAAGTAAGTCCAATATTTAGCTAAAGTAGATTCACTTTAAAATGTGCTATAAACTGGATTTTCAAGCTCATAAATATAGGTGATTTGCCCTGAGAAATCATACTACCTAAAAATGGAACTACCACTCATTTGTCAGTTTGTCATACAGTGGTTGGTAGCTTGTGTGTTGATGCAATGCTGGAAACAATGCCATCAGTATTTTAAATACGATCAGGGTCACTCATGGCAGATAGGTTTCAGCTGTGTTTCCAGACTACCTAGACTAGGAAGAAGGTGCTGTGTTCCACTTCTGAATGATTAGCCACTGAAACCCTATGAGTAACAATGTCTGCTGTAGTGTCAAAAACTGAGACCCTCAGATTGGAAGATACTAAACATAAGACTAGGAAAGAGCTGCCACATCAAAGTGGAGTTCATCGTGAAGATGTAGTTAGAGCAAAGCTTTCATGATCTTCATTTGCTCTTGGGACATAACTCAAAATGGAAGAAAACCCTCAAACAACCATTGATAATTGGAATGTGGAATTTATACAAAATTTGAATCTAGGAAAACTGGAAAGCATCAAAAAGTAATTATGAATGTATGAACTATGAATCTAGGAAAATTGGCAGTCATCAAAAATAAAATGTAACCCATAAAGATCAATAGCCTAGGAATCAGTAGGGTGAAATGGGTCAGTAATAACCATTTCAAATCTGACAGTCAAATAGTTTATTCTGCATGGAGAAACAAATTGAAGAAGAATAGTGAAACATTAATCATCAAAAAAGAGCATTTTGAAATGTATCTTGAAGTACAATGCTATCTGTGATAGGATAATATCCATATACAAAAAAGACCAGTTAATAAGACTCTTATTCAAACATACACACTAACCACTGAAGTCAAAGATGATGAAATTGAAATCTATATACTTCTTCAGTCTGAAATTGAACAGACATGCAACCAAGATGCATTGATAATTACTTGTGGTTGGAATGTGGAAGTTGAAAACAAAGAGGAAGAATCAGTAGTTGGAAAATATGGTTTTGGTGATAGAAACTATGCTTGAGAGCGCACAATAGAAATTTTTCAAGACCAGTGACTTATGCATTGTAGAAACCTTCTTTCAGCAACATAAATGGCAACTATACATATGGATCTCACCACATGGAATTCATAGAAATCAAATTGACTACATCTGTGGGAAGAGAAATGGAGATGCTCTATATTATTAGCCAAAACAAGGCCCTGGATAGTCTATGGAACAGATAATTAATTGCTCATATTCAAGTTCTGGTTGAAGCTGAGGAAAATTAAATAAGCTCACAAAAGCTAAGATATGACCCTGAGTATATCTGACCTGAATTTAGAGACCACTTCAACAACAGATCTGATGCATTATCAACACTTGTAACTGAAGACCAGAAGAGTTCTGACGTGACATCAAAAGCATCCTACACAAAGAAAACAAAAGGTAATTAAGAAGACAGGAATGAAAAAGACCAAAGTAGATGTTAGAAGAAATTCGGAAACTGCTCTGGAATACAGAGAATGTAAAGAGGCTGGAAGTAATGATGAAGAAAACAAATGGAGCAGAAAATTTCTAAGGATAGCTTGAGAAGACAAAGTCAAATATTATAATAAAATGTGCATAGACCTGGAATTAGAAAACTAAAAGTGAAGAACACACTCTGCATTTCTCAAACTGAAAGAATTGAAGGGAAAAAAAAAATCATGCCTTGATTTACAAGTCAAAAATAGTCTATGGGCAAAATATTGAATGTTGCAAGACAAATCAAAAGATGGAAGGAATACACAGTCACTGTATCAAAAGGAATTGGTTGATGTTCAATCATTTTAAGAGGTACCATATGATGAAGAACAGATGGTATTGAAGGAAGAATTTCAAACTATGCTGTAGGCATTGACACAAAGAAAGCCTCAAGGGATCAATGGAATAAAAATGGAAATGTTTCAGCAAACTGATTCAGTCAGTATTGGAGGCACACACTCATCTATACTAAGAAATTTGGTAGATAGCTACCTAGTCAGCTGATTGGAAGAGATCATATTTGTGTACATTCCAAAGAAAGAATGTGGGAATCAACACATAGTATTATTAATACTAGATGTAACTAAAATTTTCCTGAAGATAACTAAAAAATGCTTGTAGCATACATCGGTAGAGATCTGTCAGAAATTCAAGTCTTATTTAGAAAAAGACATGGAATGAAGGATGTCATTGTTAATGTCAGTTAGATCTTGACTGAAAGCAGAGACTACCCAAAAGCTGTTTGCTGTTAGGTGTCTTTGAGTTGGTTCCTGCTCACAGCAACCCTCTGCACAAGAATGAAACCCTGCCCTGGGCTGCACCATCCTCACGTAACTGCTGCCAATGTCAGTCCATCTGGTTGAGGATTTCCTCTTTTTCACTGACCCTCCATTTTCCAAGCAGGATGTCCTTTTCCAGGGACTGGTCCCTCCTGATACCATGTCCGAAGTCTAAGAGACAAAGTTTCTCCATCCTCACTTCAAAGAAGCATTCAAGCTCACTTCTTCTAAGACAGACTTATTTCTTCTTCTGGAAATTCATGATGCTTTCAGTATTCTTTACAAACACCATAAATCAATTGCATCAGTTATTTTGTGGTCTTCCTTGTATATTGTTCAACTTTCACATACATATGAGGTGATTGAAAATATCAGTAATTTAGTCCTCAAAGTGACATCTTTGCTCTTTAACATTTTAAAGACGTCTTTTGCAGCAAATTTGTCTAATGCTGCTTCCGTGAGTGTTGAATGTTGATCGAAGAAAAATTAAATCCTTAATACCTTCAATTGATTTCCGTATTTATCATGATGTAATTTATTGGTCCTGTTTCTGACATACAATTTGTTTTTTTCTGTTTTCCTATCTATTAAAAGAAGGTGGAAGGAATATACAGAATCATTATACCAAAAAATAATTGGGGTTGATGTTCAATAAATTCAAGATGTAATATAATTACAAGCCAGTGGTATTGAAGGAAGAAGTCCAAGGAGCACTGAAGGCATTAGTGGAAAATAAGGTTCTAGAAATTGACAGAATACAAATTGAAAGGTTTCTACATGCTGATGCGGTGCTAGAAATGTCCACTTGTCTATGACAAAAATTTTGGAAAACAGTTGTGTAGTCAATTGTTTAGAAGAAATCATATGTGTGCCTATTGCAAAGAAAGGTGACCCACTGGAATACAGAAATCATTGAACAATATCATTAATGCCACATGCAAGTCAAATTTTTCTGAAGATAATAATTTAAAAAAATATATAGATGCAACAGGGAGCTTCCAGAAATTAAATTAAGATTCCAGAAAGAATGTGGCACTAAGGCTATCATTGCTGATGTCAGATGCATCTTGGCTGAAATCAGAGGATACCAGAAAGATGTTTATTTGTGCTTTCATGGTTGGCAAAGGCGTTCTTCTGTGTGGATCATAACAAACTATGGATAACAATGGGAAAAATGGGTATTCCAGAACACTTAATTGTGCTCATGACAAACCTGTACATAGACCAAGAGGCAGTTGTTCAAACAAAATGATTTAAAATCAAGAAAGATGTGTGTCATGGGTGTATCCTTTCTAGATAATTATTCAATTTG